TTCCCCAGGTCCCCTGCACAGGTTGGTAGGACACACCCAACGCGGCTTTTCTTCCTGGCGAGTCTTGCTTATTCTCCCCAGTTACTCTCCACGTCCACAACCCAGACACCCGAGGCAAATGAAGGTGCTGACTCCGAGCGTGCGTTTTACCGGTGTAGTTCATGCAGGTGGAGTGTCTGTTTTAAAGAGCTTTGCAAGTAGCCGGCAACTTTTTTCCCCCCTGATAATTCTTGCCATCATTCATATTGTTACTACTACAAAGATTGGAGAGTTTGGACAAAAGGTAGGTAGCATAAGGAGAAAATGAGTTACTATATACTTTAATTTATTTTTAAAATATATATATATATATTTTTAAATATATTTTATTGATTTTTTTACAGAGAGGAAGGGAGAGAGATAGAGAGTTAGAAACATCGATGAGAGAGAAACATCGATCAGCTGCCTCCTGCACATCTCCCACCGGGGATGCGCCCGCAACCCAGGTACATGCCCTTGACCGGAATCGAACCTGGGACCCCCTCATTCCGCAAGCTGACGCTCTATCCACTGAGCCAAACCGGTTTCGGCTAAAATATATATTTTATTTATTTCAGAGAGGAAGGGAGAGGGAGAGAGAGAGAGAGAAACATCAATGATGAGATTCATGGATTGGCTGCCTCCTGCACGCCCCCTACTGGGGATCAAGCCCACAACCTGGGCATGTGCCCTTGACCAGAATCAAACCCGGGACCCTTCAGTGCACAGGCCGAGGCTCTAGCCACTGAGCCATACCAGCTAGGACTATCATTTAATTTACATGAAAGCAATTTATAAACTATGCAATTATGTATAAACTCAGTATTTACGGAGCACCTACTGTGTGCTCCAGTTTTCTAAACAGATACTCCCTTCCCCTCCCCTTCACGGAGTTACATTCTACTGGGGGCGTCTCAGATAATAAACAAATAAAATGTGTGCTCCGTCAAATGGTGTTAAGGACTGAAGAGGAAAAGCAGGGGAGAGGGAGAATAGGGAATGAGAAGAGGGTTGCAATATATATATTTTTAATCATTGTGTTTGGTGGTTTAAAATCTTTTTTTTAATTTTTTGTTAGTCCTCACCTGAGGATATTTTTCCATTGATTTTTAGGGAGAGTGGGAGGGAGGGGGAGAGCCAGAGAGAGAGAAACATGGCTGTGAGAGAGATGGCTGTGGATTGGTTGCCTCCCCCACAAGCCCTAACCAGGGCTGGGATGGAGCCTGAAACCCAGGTATGTGCCCTTAACCAGAATCGAACCCGGGACCCTTCTGCCCGCAGGCCAGTGCTCTATCCACTGAGCCACACTGGCTAGGGCGAGGGTTGCAATTTTAAGGAGCGGTCGCCAGGGAAGACTTCTTGGAAAAGATGACCTTGCAACATGAGACTGGAAGGAAGTGGAGGGTAATTGGTCCACCTCTGTAGGGGAGGAGTGTTCGGAGGAAGGGCACTTGCAGGAGCCTGCAGGCGGAGTGGATGAGCATGTTTGGGGGAAACAGAGGCTGGGCTGGCCTGCTGGAGGGAGTGATGGGAGAGGAGTAGAAACGAGTCCAGGATTAGGTGGGAATGGGAGATCAGAGTGTAAGGCCTGCAGGCCGTTGTCAGGACTCGGCTTCCACTCTGAGACTCATCGCTTTGCGTGGAGAAGGGATAGAATCAGACTCGCTTTCTAAAGAGGTCACTCTGGTGGTTGGATGGAGAATAGACTTTGTTGGGGGGGGGGGGGGAGAGGGTTGGGCAGTGGCAGAAGCAGGGACATCAGTTCCGGGATTCTTGCCATGATCCAGGCCAGCGATGATGCCACTTGGGCCTGAGTACCGTTGGCGTGGTGGGTTTCTGGATACATTGAAGGTCGTAGAGTCCACAGGAGACTTCCAGAACACCGGAGTTTATCCTGAGGAAGATAGAGCAGGCACGTACTGAAGTGAGGCTCATGAGAGGAGCAGTTTAGTGGGGAGAAGGTTAGGAGTGGGTTAGAAGACAATAAATTGGGTATCCAAGTGGTTACAGTGCCGACCTGCAGACCCACGGGTTCAATTCCCCGTCAAGAGCATGTACCTGGGTTGCAGGTTCCCTGGCCTCCGGGAGGAATGCATGCAGGAGGCAACCAATCAGTGTGTCTCACATCAGTGTTTCTCTCTCTCCCCACCCCCTTCCACTCTCTCTAAAAATCAATTGAGAAAATATTCCCAGTGAGGATTAACAACAAAAAAAGATTCTTATTAACAAACTGACCCTCTAATCAGATTCAGAGAGTAAAAAAAGAACATAGATTCTGGAGATTTTAGTGACCATGGTGAATGGTCTTTTTAACATTGCTGAATTTGGTTTGCTAATATTTTGTTGAGGATTTTTGCATCTATTTTCTTTTTACAAATATATTTTTATTAATTTCAGAGAGGAAGGGAGAGGGAGAGAGAGAGAAACATCAATGATGAGAGAGAATCATTGATCAACTGCCTCCTGCACGCCCTCTATTGGGGTTTGAGCCCGAAACCCGGGCATGTGCCCTGACAGGAATAGAACTGTGACCTCCTGGTTACTAGGTCAATGCTCAACCACTGAGCCACGCCGGCCGGCCTGTATCTCATGTTCATGAGGGATGCTGGCCTATAATTTTCTTTCTTTGTAATGTCTTCGTCTGGTTTTGGAATCAGGGTAAATGGTGACCTTGTAAAATGAGTGTGGGAGCCTTCCTCCTCTTGAATTTTTTGGGAAGGACGGGTGTTAATTCTTCTTTTGAGTGTTTGGTAAAATGCACTGGTGAAGCCATCCTGTCAGGCCCAGCCTTCACTTTTAACGGGGACACCCCGTGTGCAGGTTAGGAGGAGGCTGCCGCTGTAGGAGACCTAGCTTCTCATCAGGTCTCTGACGTCACCTGTGTGGTATCTTATTCTTGGGGACCGGATGGAGAAGTGGACACAGGATGGGCAGTTAGCAACTGCACTCGATCTAGGTACCTGTGAGCGTCCCCCCAGGAAGCCTCTATGGGCCGCCCTTTCTGACCCTGTTCCCACCTGTCAGCTCGCACCTCCTCCCCCTCATGGTGACCTTGCAGCTTATTTCACGGAGGAAATAGAAACACCCCCATCTCGGTCCTCCCACCGCCAGACACACTCATCTCCTGCATCTATGCTGGCGGGCGCTGTCGTCCTTATTGCATTAGGTGGCCCATCCCTGTTCTTCTCATGTGGACATTGGCTCGTTTTCATTCTGCTTACTCACCGTTCCTGAAATGATCTCTCATTCCAGTTTTTCATCTGTTTTCAGTTCTCCTGCCATAGAAACGTGATAAAACATTTCAGCTTACAAATACTCTATAACATCTTTCTTTCTAAAGATAGGCTCCACCCTTCAGGCTAGGCTGGGCGATATGGGACTAGGCTTGGTTCTTAGGCACTAGGGCAGCCGTGGGCAAACTACGGCCCGCGGGCCGGATCCGGCCTGTTTGAAATGAATAAAACTAAAAAAAAAAAGACCATACCCTTTTATGTAATGATGTTTACTTTGAATTTATATTAGTTCGCACAAACACTCCATCCATGCTTTTGTTCCGGCCCTCTGGTCCAGTTTAAGAACCCATTGTGGCCCTCGAGTCAAAAAGTTTGCCCACCCCTGGACTAGGGTCATCCCTTCAGAACTAGCTTCAGCTGTTAGGGCTGGACTGGACAAAAAAAGAAAAAAAATACCAAACCCTCTCCTATTCCGGGTCCCCTTCAAGCGACCAACCGTTTTGTTGCCATTCTTTAGGACATATTCAGGGATGCTAAACTCTGGGCTCAGCCCCAGACCCTCATTCCTGCCCCCTTCCCACTCTCTCTAGGCCCCCACTGTTGAGTACGTCACCACTAGCCACCAGCCTGTCCGTGCGGAGAGCTCTATCGGACAGCACTGCTCTGGGCTCTCACATCCATCCAGTCCCTTTAAAATGCGTCTGCACGTGCTGACCCCCAGGTTGAGTCACCCGTGCCAGCCTCCATGGGAAGTCCAGCTGCTACGCCAGCTGCCTGCGAGACAGCCTTTCCTTGGTGGCTGAGCGCTTGTCAGACTGAACACGGCTAAACGGGATGTGGTTTTCCCTCTCCTCCTGCCCCGTCAGCAGGGCTACCCCTCACACAGGTTACAAAACCTTGTCTCCTCTTTGGGGGGCCAGGGGCTCTGAGGGCAGGTGGAAGGAGACTTCCATGCTTAGGAGCGACTGTTCCAGGGGACACCTCGGTTTCCTCTTTCCACATCGCTCTTCAGTCCCTGAAAGCAGGGGCGAGTGGCTTTCCCCACTCGGTAGTAGTTTTTACCTTTTCCTCTCGCACTCGGCATCCATGCATCAGACACACGCGCATCTCAGTATCCCGGAGTGCTCTTTGCCCAGGTACCCTCCTGGCCCCCTTCCTGACTTCCTTCACATTTTGGCTCAGATATCACCTCTTCACACATACATTCCTGTGCACCCTAAGAAAGTCCGAACCTGCCTTCACAGCCGCCACTCAGGAGTTACTGCCCTCTCGTTAGTGTTTGCACCTGCCCACGCCTGGTTATGCTCAGGCAGTTCACACCCAGCACTCGTTTCTGCCAGGCATGAATGTTTTTTAAAATATACTTTCATTGATGTCAGAGAGGAAGGGAGACAGAGAGAGAGATAGAAACATTAATGATGAGAGAGAATCATGGATCAGCTGCCTCCTGCACGCCTTTTACTGGGGATCAGCCTGCAACCTGGGCATGTGCCCTTGACCGGAATCGAACCCGGGACTCTTCAGTCCACAGGCCGACGCTCTATCCACTGAGCCAAACCAGCTAGGGCAGGCATGAATATTTAAGGAGCACCTGACCAGGCCAGAGCCATGTCTGGAAGTATTAGAGGGTTAAGTACCAGAACCTAGTCATTTCCAGTCAGTCTTTAGATAAAAACAAGCAATAAAACCTCAGAGTTTTAAATGTAAATTTTTGTGTTTCTTATCTTTTCTACAATCTTTATCTTACAGCTTGGTCATGAGCACCGACAGTAACTCTTTGGCACGTGAATTTCTGACCGATGTCAACCGGCTTTGCAATGCAGTGGTCCAGCAGGTGGAGGCCCGGGAAGAGGAGGAGGAGGAGGAGGAAGAGGAGGAGACACACATGGCAGCCCTTGGACAGTACCTTGTCCACGGCCGAGGATTCCTCTTACTGACCAAGCTAAATTCCACCATTGACCAGGTAACATTTTCACGTCAAATAACTTTCTTCTTCAGTATATTATCGTTAATTTTGGGTCCATAATTTCTGGGTTACATAGTTTCTGAGAGTCTCTAGATAAAGTCCTGCCTCTCACATCACTCCCACAAAGACAAGTAGCCCCATTTAAGGACATATGTTTATTTGGATACTTTCCAAAATGATTTTAGAATTGTAAATGGCCTTTCTTGTAAAGTGGTTTCATATATACTATGTTTGCATCCTAATATCAGTGCAGGAGAACTGTGATTATTAATAAAGTTACAAGATTACAATAGAGGAGCATATGAATTTGCACCTGCAATAAACATCAGCCATGTGTTTGAAAAATTTCGTGTAAACTATGTTTAGGCAGCTTGCTATATGTGGGGTGAAAGTAGAGAACACTTTGTGTGAACTAATAATTACTGATCCTCTAGCTTGTATTCATGTACGTTAGTACATTGTGTGTTTGCTGAGAGGATTGTATGACGGTGGTATTGTGTTGATTCCTTCTTCTAGAATAAACATTTTAAAGCCAGTAGGAACTACAGACATGTTTTCATCCAACCTCCATTTGTAGATGAAAAACAGACGCAGAAACATTAAGTAACTCAGGTTAACCTGAAGCCCAAATGTGATTTATATCTTTATTAAATTTTAGGAGAAAAAAATAGTTATTTTATGAAAGAAAAACTCTACCATCTGCTTCCTGAGAACGAATTAATGTAGTCAGAGAGTATTTCAGTTAACTTGAATTGATAAGATTATAAGGTCTCCGTAGCACCAGTTTGACGGGCATGTCTGACCACTTTAAATGTCACTGGCGTTAGATGTACTCTTATCCATTGTTAAACCTCTGTGATATGACAGCACATTTCTAATGAATACATTTGTTGGATAAATACAGACACTAACACTGAACACTGCCTCTGTTTTCACTGTAAGCTCAGGAACCCAACAAATATAAGGAAGTATTTGTTCGCTGCGGTGCTCACCTGTCACGGAACATTCTGGAATATTTGCAGGTTTATGTAATTTTATTCTTTTTCATCAATGTGGTTTATTAAATGTGTCACTAAATGTAATTTAAGTTTTATATATTTGTGTGACCAGGAAAAATTATTTGTTAGACCACATGTAGTGATTTTTTTATTTTGAAATCTTGATGATTTCATATTCATCTCATACTCTGTTCGTTTTTCCCCACATTAGAACAATTCAGTGCTTTCTCTTTTTAAAAGATACTATATAAATAGCATCATAAATATTGAGGAGCAAATGTTGAGAGAAACTGAAAAAGACCCAAATAATTTCAGAACTACGTGATATACATATATTCGAAAAATCAGCATTGTAAAGATACTGTTTTCTCCAAATTGATCTATAGATTCCAGTGCAATTCCAATCAAAGTCTCAATGGGTTTTTTTTAAATCCTCACCTGAGGATATGCTTACAGAGAGGAAAGGAGTGAGAGAGAGAGAAACATTGATATGAGAGAGAAACATCCATTGGTTGCCTTCTGTACATGCCTCGACCGGGGATCGAACTACAACCCAGGCGTGTGCCCTGACCGGGGACTGAACTGGCAACCGTTTGGTGCACAGGATGATGTTCAGCTCACTGAGCCACTCTGGTCAGGCACAAAGGCTTTTTCTTAATGACAGCATTATTGAGATATATTTCACATGTCATAGAATTCACCTATTTCATATGTACAAAATCCAGTATTCATTAGTGTCACAGCCAGTTTTAGAATATTTCCATCACCTCCGATAGAACCCCTATGCTTTTTCCTGTCAATCACCTATTCCTTCCACTCTCCTGAGTCTAAGCAAACACTAATCTACTTTGGATCTCTATAGATTTTCTGCTTTTGCTTTTAAGTCATGAAATAACTTTTAACATATTATTCAATGACTGCAATCATTCAAGTCATCATTGAATACTATGTTTTCCTATGGTGATATTTTTTAATCCCTTCTTTTCCCCATCACTTACTTTTTGGAATATCTGTAGCAGTGATAGTAGGAACAGTGGAAGTAGAGTGACATTAATAGCCTATTAAAACTAGGGCTTATCAATATTTAATTGCTTAAACCAGGGAACGAAGCATGGTCATTTGGATCCTGAAGGGGAATTTAATTGCGCAAGATTTAATCATTTAAGGCGGAGTCAGAACGCTAGGTTCCAGGCTACACATCTCAGGAGGAACTTGAGCTCTCACGCCCCCTTCTCCCCTTACTATGTGTAGTAAATGCACAGATGTTACGTGTACATTGGGATGTTCTAACAAATATATTCACCTGTGTGGCCACCACCCCGTCAGTGTGTAGGACATCCCACCCCTTAGGGAGTTTGCAGGCTCTTTTCAGTCAGTCCCTCCCGGCCCCTGCAGGATGCCGCTGCTCTGACGTGTAGCCTCTGAGGACGGTTCTGCTCGTCCTGGGACTTCACGTGAAGTATGTGCTCTTGTGTCGCAGAGGTTCTCCCGTCCGCGTGAGTCAGCAGCTCATGCCTTCTGTGTCTGATGGGCGTCTTCTTGTCTGGAGGCCACGGTTTGTTTACCTTCCTCTGCTGTTTAACCGTTTGGGTCAGAGCCATCTGGCTATTCTGAATAAACCTGCTGTGAATATACTTTCATTTCTCCTGGGTACATATCGCGGCATGCAGTTGCTATGAGAAGCAGCCTGTTTTCAAAGTGGTTGCGCCACTGCATTCTCACGGCCATGTGTGCGGACCCTGAGCTCTCACAGCCTCTCTCACCTGCTGCTGTTTGCATCCCTCTAACAGCTGGCACTGCCCGTCGGTAGTGGCGGCATTGTGGGTATGAAGCCGCATCGCGCTGCGGTTTCGGTGTGCAGCTCTCTGACTGCTAATGGCATTGAGCACTTTTCTGTGTGCTTACTGGCCATTTATTATTTCCTTTGTAAGTGTCTGTTCAAGTTTTGTGCCCATTTTTTTTTCATTTTAAAAACAATTTCTCAGAGACGGTGAGTACATGAAATCAACACTGACCATTGTACTACACAAGAATATAAATTATGCCATGAGGAATCACAAGGCTATGTGTACATTAACCCCCAAAATTAAATATAAATTTGCTGTGCTTGTTATGCATGACTTTCCTTCTTCCCCTCTTTCCCTCTTTCTCTTTCTTTCTTACGTTTGGGTTGTGCCCATTCAGCCGTGTTAGTTCTGGAAACAGTCCAAGTTTCTTGGCATGTCGTCCTGAGGTCCTCGAACGCACTGCCCCAAGCCCGCTACCTTTGCAGCTTCAGAGATAGTGGTCTGGTGTGGGATCTCAGCCCTTGCTTCTCCCGACTCACTCGCCCTTCCTCTCCCGTCTGCCTCCCGTGCTGCCACCCCTTGGATGGCTAGGCTGGGCAGTTAATATAAAATCCGGTCTAAACAATCACGTCGTGAAAGGGATCGTGCCTGACACCTGGTCGGCGTGTAAAATATGTTTCCTGAATTAACTGAAAAATTACCAGCCAATGAGACTTCTTTTACTGGGGCTTATGCTATGGTGAATTGAAAAAGGAATGACAGTCATTTCCCTGCACAGGGGAAGCATAAAATGTGAGTCCTGCATGAGGAGTGGATGATTTGTATAGATGGGCCGTCTAGGCTCGCCAGGGGCGGGATCTGTCTGTGGCACGTGTTGCCGACCATGGCACGTTGAGAACATTCCACTTGGATGGTAAGAGGTAACACCATTATTCCTCTGGACGCTGTGGTTTGCAACAGCGGGCTGTCCACAAATAAGAGGGAAAGATCTGATGACTTGTAAAGGATTAGAATACGCATGCGGCTTCTTTAGGGCTGGGGAGGAGAAATACCTCTGGGCGTATACGATCACTGAAAGGTACTAGGTCTGGAAGGTTAGCGAGAGCACCCCGTGGTGAATTGTTAGAAATGGTGGTGATGGTGCAAGGAGGGAACCGTGCTCCCCTGTTGCATCGGGCAGTGGGAGATGACAATGTCCTCAGGGGCAGCAGTGCCAGCGGAGGGGGCAAACCCCCAACCTGCACTTGCTTCCCTCTCCCTTTTCGGGTTTCCAAGAGCTAGTGGTGTGGGGGCCACAGGCATGGTCCTGAGTGGGGAGGACAGGAATCCTGGGTGTGTGCGGGATGAAGGCTTCACAGGGGAGGTATGGGGGGGCTGGGCCTGGAAGGCAGTGAGCCAGCGCGCCCTTAGCTCAGTGGGAAGGAGTAGAGAAGTCCCAGGCAGCGTCCTGCGGAGCCAGGAGCTGGAGCCTGTGCATGGGGCAGTGACCATTTGCCAGTGTCCTGTTGGGGACCCAGGGCTCAGCGACAAGGACAGCGTGTCCGGAGCACTTCACACATCCTCGAGGTTTCTGCAAGCTCCCGTAGAATGTTACAGTCTCTTCTGCTCAAGGGAAGTGCCCAGAATCGGTGTGGAGGTTTTTAAGTATAATTGTGCTGGATACCTTTTGCTGGCATCCTACAAAATGCTGAGGTTCAGACAGCCCGAGCTATGCCTGGAAGGCACCTGGACGTCTTCAGACTTGTAAAGAATAAAGTCTTTCATGCAGATAGTGTTTATAAAAACCCAACTAGGTCCTAGGCATTGGGTGCAGAGGGCGTGACTGCTAAGCACTGGGGCCTGTGCCCTGAAGTCCAGGCTTGGAGGGAGGGCTGGGAAGTGTGTTTGAGAAGCTTCCCGTGGTTTGGAGGTAAATTCAACCTCTTGTGTGCAGCCCGCGAGGCCGTAGTAGGTCTGGCACCGCCTGCCTCGCTGACCCTGTGCTCTCCCCGGTCCGCCCTTTCTATTCTTTAAATGCTTCCCAGGAGCTGTGGCGTCCACATCTTTGCATGGATTCCTTCTCACCAATTAAGTATCTGCTCCAGGGGTCCCTCCTGAATAGGCTGCAAATGCCCCCTTATCCCTCTGTCACCCCTCCTCTATTCATTGTCTTCATTGTATTTGAAACCGTCCTCATGCGGATCTGACGGGTCACCCTGCCTCCTCACTCACCATGTGAGGAATTACACTTGACTTGTCATTACTTCCTTGGCCACCGTGTCCCAGGGGTCCCGCTCCAGTTCTGTAGCTCCAGTCACGCCTCTGACTGACAGGCTCGCTCCTTTCTGTGCCTCCTGTCTGAGCACCTGTGCCACACCCGGGCCCCGACTCACGCCACGTGCCTTCTGTTCTCTAACTGTGTGTGTGTGTATCTTATGGACCAAACGAGGGAACCTTCTCCAGGGCTCGGACCATCTCCTCCAGGAGGGGTAAGACAGTAAGTGCTGTAGACACAGTGTGCTGACCGTAAACACTGGATTACCTTCACTAATACGTCTTTCTTTTTACATATTACTTATTAATGTCCGTTTCTCTTTTTAAAATTGTGTTCTCTGAGTCTTACATTTAACTGCATGAAGGTGTTTTTCTAATAACTTTATATTATTGGTTTGCTAATTAATAGGACTTAGCTTTTCATTTTCACCTGGCAAATTGGTTTTTCGTAGGTGAGGAATTCTTGCAATGTGCATGGTGCTGTGGCAGCTATTTTAAAAAATCAGCAAGAACATGCTAAATACCGTCAGCTCCTCTTACATTCTTCTGTCTTTGGAAAGGTTTATAAATTGAAGAGTATCACAGCTTTCGTTGGATTTGAGAGGAGTTAGTTTGGATCTTAGCTTCTCAAATGCAATCTTTCAGGGGCAAGGATTTTTTGGTTAAAAGTAAGACAAGGTATTAGGAATGAATGAGCCTCCTGCCCTCGGAACATGAAGGGGTTTTTCATGTCTGATCCAGGCGCTGACCTGCAGAGAGGAGCTCCTCACTCTTCTGCTGTCGCTCCTCCCGCTGGTGTGGAAGATTCCTGTTCAGGAAGAAAGGGCGGCAGGTATGTTCTCTTTCTTTTTTTACTGAGTGGCACTCCCCAGAAATACTTCGCGTGATGGTCGCTTTTAACTTCAGTCTGAGAGAATATTTGGTATCCGTTGTATGATTTTGAAATAATTTGGGGAAATCGTAAAGTTCTTAAGTTACATCAGGGCTCTAACCTAAATACTGGACTATGTTGGAGAATATAATAAACCCCTGTATCTTAATCTACTGCACTATTGCAGGAGGCTTGTAAAATGGCATGAACAGTGTGGTGATGTATAGCCTAGAGCAGCGGTTCTCAACCTGTGGGTCGCGACCCCTTTGGGGGTCGAACGATCCTTTCACAGGGGTCGCCTAAGACCATGGGGAAACACATATATAATTATATATTGTTTTTGTGATTAATCACTATGCTTTAATTATGTTCCATTTGTAACAATGAAAATACATCCTGCATATCAGATATTTACATGACGATTCATAACAGTAGCAACATTACAGTTATGAAGTAGCAACGAAAATAATTTTATGGTTGGGGGTCACCACAACATGAGGAACTGTATGAAAGGGTCACGGCATTAGGAAGGTTGAGAACCACTGGCCTAGAGTCTCTTATGGTTTTAAATTAGATTCATTTTTTCCAATTCTGTTCTCCTTTGTTGTTTCCAGATCAGTTCATATCCTTTGAACTAATACCACCTGGTACTTATGAGAAAGATAAGTGTGGGGGGAAGTGACCGAGGGACATAATAATAGCTAACGGAGAACAGCCCAGGGCCCGGGGACTGAGGTTAAACTCCTAAAATGGGTGCTAAGTACAAATTGAGTTTGAAGACATATTAAGGCATTCTAAAATTTCCTTTTTTGTTTCCTTAGATTTTAATCTACCGTTCTCAGTTGATATAATCCTGACCAAAGAAAAGAACTCAAGTTCACAAAGATCTACTCAGGAAAAATTATATTTAGAAGGCAGTGCTCCATCGGGTCAGGTTTCTGCCAAAGTGAAAAGCAGACGACAGCGTAAAGCCACCCACCCCTGTTCCCTAAGAGATGCAAGAAAGACGCAGCCCTCCACCTCAGGCTCAGAGGCCGACTCAGACGACAGGAGGCCCCGGCGGCCCCACCAGCTGCAGCCTCTTGTAGCCCAGGCTTCTAAAGAAGGCGCGCCTGCAGCTCACCCCAACCGCTTGTCAACCAGAGAACAGACCCCCCCTGAGACCATGGCTTCGGGAAGTTTCCAAGAGATGATGCCCAGCCAGGAGGCAAACATGGACATTTTAAGCGAGCCAGCTGCCTTGTCTATTATCAGTCACATGAGCAATTCTCCCTTTGACTTATGCCATGTTCTGTTATCTTTATTAGAGAAAGTCTGTAAGTTTGACATGAACTTGAATCATAATTCTGCCCTGGCGGCCAGCGTCGTGCCCACGCTGACCGAGTTCCTCGCAGGCTTTGGGGACTGCTGTGACCTCGGCGACAACGCGGAGAGCCAGGTGGTTGCTGCAGGTTGGACTGAAGAGCCAGTGGCCTTGATCCAACGGATGCTTTTCCGGACAGTGTTGCATCTCATGTCAGTGGATGTGAGTGCCGCAGGGACGATGCCGGACAGTCTCAAAAAGAATTTAACCGAGTTGCTCAGAGCAGCTTTAAAGATTAGAACTTGCCTGGAAAAGCAGCCTGACCCCTTCGCCCCGAGACAGAAGACGACCCTGCAGGAGGTGCGGGAAGGCTTTGTGTTTTCCCGCTATCGGCACCGAGCCCTCCTGTTGCCCGAGCTTCTGGAAGGGGTGCTGCAGCTCCTCACCTGCTGCCTCCACAGCGCAGCCTCAAACCCCTTCTTCTTCAGCCAAGCCATGGACCTGGTTCAGGAGTTCATCCAGCACCACGGGTTCCACTTGTTCGAGACGGCAGTCCTGCAAACGGAGTGGCTGGTCTTAAGAGACGGCGTCCCTGCCGAGGCCTCGGAACGTCTGCGAGCCCTGATAAGCGGCGTGCTGAAGATCATGAGCACCGTCAAAAAGGTGAAGTCGGAGCAGCTCCACCACTCCATGTGCACCAGGAAGAGGCACAGGCGCTGTGAATATTCCCACTTTATGCGTCACCACCGAGATCTCTCGGGGCTCCTGGTCTCGGCTTTTAAAAACCAGGTTTCCAAAAACCCCTTCGAGGAGACCCCGGACGGCGCCGTGCACTACCCCGAGCGGTGCTGCTGCCTGGCCGTGTGCGCGCACCAGTGCCTGCGCCTGCTGCAGCAGGCCTCCCTGAGCAGCACGTGCGTGCAGGTCCTGGCCGGCGTCCAGGACGTGGGGCTGTGCTGCTGCATGGACCCCAAGTCTGTCATCGTCCCTTTGCTCCACGCCTTTAAGTTGCCGGCACTGAAGAATTTCCAGCAGCAGATATTGAATGTCCTAAGCAGACTTATTTTAGATCAGTTAGGAGGCGCCGAGATGCCGCCAAGAATGAAAAAGGCAGCTTGCAATATTTGTACCGTTGACTCTGATCAACTGGCCAAATTAGAAGAAACGCTGCAGGGGCCTGCGCGCGACGAGGAGCCTTCCTGGGGTCTGCCCAGCCCCTACAGGTGCCCCGGGATCCTGCCCAGCAGCGGCTCTGAGGACTCGTTGTGGAGATGGGATGCCTTAGAGGCGTATCAGAATTTCGTGTTTGAAGAAGGCAGGTTACATAGTGTGCAGATCGCAAACCACATTTGCAGTTTAATGCAGAAAGGCAATGTGGTGGTTCGCTGGAAATTGTATAATTACATCTTCAACCCTGTGCTCCAGAGAGGAGTAGAACTGGCCCATCACTGCCAGCACCCTGGCGTTCCTCCAGCCCAGACTCACCTGTGTGGCCGTCAGAACCAGTGCTTGCCTCACGAAGTGCTTCAGGTTTATTTAAAAACGCTGCCGTCCCTACTGAAGTCAAGGTGTGTGTGTGTGTGGGGGGGGGGGGGGGGTATTTTCCTTATTGTATCCTTTTGAGTTATCTGGGCCCTTTATTCTTTCATAGGATTTCATTGTAGTTTTAACAACAGATAAGTTACCATCCTGTGTCAGATAATTTTTTTTTAAGTTTATGTATTTTTTATTGGGTGGTTATAGAGGAGAGGATAGAGCCATTGACTTTAATTTTTTGGTTAAAAAAAAAAAGGAAGTTTTAAATATATTTTTGAGAGAAAATGGACACAACACATATCCAGTAGCAGGGGCAAGGTTAAATTAATAGTTTTATATTTACTTTAGGGAATATTATTAACCATTAAAAATAATGCTTACAAAGATCACTTTGGGACATGAGAAAATACTTATACTATTTTATCGATGAGATATACAAAATTCAAAATATCACCACCTGTATAAAATTTGCATGTATATAAAATGATATTTATTGAGGCAGTAGAATTAAGGAGATTATTATTTTTAAATGTCATATTTATACTTATTACCTAAGCAATATATGAAGAAAAATTATAAAATACAGGAAAGCAAAAAAGAAGAAAATTAAAATTACTTAGAATTTCACCAGTGAGCTTTCCAGATTTTGTGATGATCAAGTCTGGTAATTAAAAAATAGTTTTATAAATAAAGCTTGCTTCGGGTAGGTAGCCTGGCCTTTCAAATTAATAACTTACAATAAAATACAACCCATGTATCATCATTATCTTTACAATCATTTTTTTAAATTCCTGGCATTCTGACATTGATTCGATGGAACTGACTTGATTTGAAAGTTTGTAACTCATTGGTATATTGGCGGACAACCTGGGTCTTCACTGCGCTGATTTATATTAAAGTTATTGCCAGGGGTCCAGTGATGCAGACCCTGAGTCTCACCTGAGACATCTGAGATCTGCAGATCTGTAGTTGGGCTCTTCCTTAGTGAGCCCCAGGCAGATGAACAGAGACACACAGATGTCTGCCTGTTTCAGAGCGTCCAGCTGAGTGTGCTGGCGCTTGGGCATCTAGAACTTACATAGAATCTGCTATTTGGGGCAAAGTATTCTTCCCTGAATTGCTTCATTTAACTTGGGACACATATAATTCATTCTTTCTAAATGTTGAAGCCACATCTACCTATATAATAAAAGGCTAATATGCAAATTGTCCCTTTGACTGGAATCTGATGGGCCTCTTCCCGTCCCCCGCCCCAATCGGGGGTGGGCAGATCGGCTAACCGTCCATGGCCCCTCCCCCCGGCCAGCCTGGCCCAATCAGCCCCGATCGGGGCCAGCCGGCCAGCCCCCACTGGTGCACGAATCCATGCAGCGGGCCTCTAGTGTATGTACTAGAGGCCCGGTGCAAGGCCCGGTGCACGGATTCATGCACCAGTGGGGTCCCTCGGCCTGGCCTGCAGGGATCAGGCCAAAACCGGCTCTTTGACATTCCCTGAGGGGTCCCAGATTGCGAGAGAGCTCAGACCAGGCCTAGGGACCCCTCAGGTGCATGATCAGGGCCAGGGAGGGGCCATGGGAGTGCCCCAGGGCGTGTCTGGCCCATCTTGCCCAGTCCCCAGCAGCTGGACCCCAGCAGCAAGCTAACCTATGGATCAGAGTGTCTGCCCCCTGGTGGTCAGTGCACATCATAGCCACTGGTCGAACGGTTGAATGAAAGGTCAGACACTTAGCATATTAGGCTTTTATTATACAGGATATATATTTGGTGTTTGAGAGTGATATGAAAATCATTAAAAAGTAACTTGAGAACCTGGTCACATCTAAGATCTTAAACCACATTATTGATTAATCAAATTTGGTAGTGTTTGTTTAGTGTATGCCACATGCAGCAATGACATTTAAATAGTGTATGTACCAAAAATATTTAATATTAAAACCAGCTTAAGTTTGGTTAAAATAAATAAATAGTATATGTACCTTTTTATATATGATCTGTCTATCTGTAAACCCTCTTGTATGTTTCTTTCTCTCACAGGGTAATAAGAGATTTGTTTTTAAGTTGTAATGGAGTAAGTCAAATAATTGAACTAAATTACTTAGATGGTATCCGAGGTCATTCCCTAAAAGCATTTGAAACTCTGATAATCAGCCTTGGGGAGCAACAGACAGACTCTTCGATTCCAGGGAGTGATGGGCTAGATGGGGAACCGAAGGAGCCAGCATCCTTCCATGCAGGCACCTCTGTCCACAGCCAGCAGGCGTTCTCAGACTCTCCTCAGAGTCTCAGCAAGTTCTACGCCAGCCTCAGAGAAGCCCACCCGAAGAGACGCAAGTCCGCCCCCCACGACGCCCACCTCCACACGATCAACCTCTTCCTCTGCGTGGCGTTCCTGTGTGTCAGCAAAGAGGCCGACTCCGACGGGGAGTCCGCCAACGATTCGGAGGACACCTCCGGCTACGACAGCACGGCCAGCGAGCCCCTGCGCCAGGAGCTGCCCTGCCTGCCTCTGGAGAGCCTGGTCTTGCCACCGCCCGAGCGCATGCACCAGGCGGCCGACATCTGGTCCATGTGTCGCTGGATCTACATGCTGAGCCCAGCTTTCCAGAAGCAGCTCTGCAGGCTGGGCGGGGTCCGGGTGTGCCATAAGCTGATCTTCATGATCATCCAGAGGCTGTTCCGGGGTCCCGACGAGGAGCACGGGAAGAAGGAGGACCAGGAGCCACTGAGAACTGCCCACGTGGAGGTCGCTGTGGAGGAGGACTCGGGCTCTTCGGCTGTGAGAAGCGCCCCCTCCCCATCCGGCCCGGGCGGTCCAGAGGGGAGTGCTGGCAGTGTAGGTGCATCAGAGTCACGTGCTGCTTCCACAAACGGGGGTCCGATTCCCGCTGCTGGAGCTGCTCCTGAGGAAGCAAAGGGGCCTGCAAGTCGAGCAAGTGATGCCTCACTTCAGAGCATCCGACTGCTGGAAGCCCTTCTGGCCATCTGTCTGCACGGCACCAGAGCTAGTCAGCACCGGGCGGAATTGGAGCCATCCGGCCAGGTAATGACGTGGCTGTCCTGCGATGCGTACTTTCTAAAGTTCTGTGTGCTTAGCACCCCCGTGCCAGGTGCTGGGAGGACACAGGAGCACAGGACCAGTCCTTGTCCTCAGGAAACTCACGGTTTAAGCTTTGTCACATGCAAAACCCACACGAGACACAGTTTCCAGCTAAAAGGCATTAGGTAGGCAGTAAGCGGGAGCTGAGTGACAATGACGTGTTTCAGAGTTCTTTTTTTTTTTAAATATATTTTATTGATTTTTTATAGAGAGGAAGGGAGAGGGATAGAGAGTTAGAAACATCGATGAGAGAGAAGCATCGATCAGCTGCCTCCTGCACACACCCTACTGGGGATGTGCCTGCAACCAAGGTACATGCCCCTGACCGGAATTGAACCCGGGACCCTTCAGTCTGCAGGCCGACGCTCTATCCTAGTGAGCCAAACCGGCCAGGGCTGTTTCAGAGTTCTTGCATGGCCTTGTGCGCTGCTCTCCAGTGGGGACAAGCCCTGTGGGCGTCCAGGCTCCAGAGCTTTCCCTCGATGAGGCAGGGCCTGGACCTTTATTCCGAACCTTCTTTGCCTGGTTCTTCTCGCATAGTCTGCTTTCCTCCTGCTAGCACTTCTCAACATAGAAGGAACCCCAGTTTCAGGCCCTGCTCCTAAGGAACCTTCGAACGTGGCAGGCCCCTTCCTCCCTGACTCGCCACCCTCACTGTTCCATCCACCACCTCTCCTGCTGCCTCCATGTTGCTCCTATCCACGCATCCCGATGCTCCCTCGTTGCTCCCAATTACAACCCACGCCCCTTAGTGTGGCTACAAAGCCCCTCACAGTCTCGCTTCCTCTTCCTTGTTGGGCCTCACTTCCTGCCATCCTTCACCGGGGGCCATAGCCACGCTGAGCTGACCTCTACTGAGACGCCATTCTGTGTCATTGCTCTGTCCTTCCGTGCGTGCTCCTCGACCGCACGTCTTCTCCTCTGTCCATGTGCCTGCTGCTCCTATGGGTTCTCCATCGTTCGCCTCCTACAGCCCTCCTCTGGGCATCTTCCCAGGCCTCCAGGCACCTGCTCTCTTTCTGTTCTCAGAGGACTTGGTTTATGGCTCTAGTGTGGTCGCCATCATAGCTTGTCTGTATGTGTCTGGGCCTCACATGGGATTGAAAACTCCTTAAGGTAGAGTTCCTTTCAAGGACAGGAGTAAAAGGGGAGAGAAAAGGATGAGAGTATAAGTGCTTCTTAGAGTCTCGAGGAATTTATAAAATCTAGAGATGGTTAATCAACCTGAAGTTTCCACTCATCATTTTGTGATATAATTAATTTACGATACATTGAAATTCAAAACCAAATAAGGTAAGTAAAGCATTTAATAAATAAAAATGTTATTAATTGTAACAGTCGATGTTTATGTAAGGGTATTCATATAGTCATTTTACTTTCATATCAACTGCAGATCAATGGACTGGCTCTCTATCTATAATAATAAAAGCATAATATGCTAATTAGACTGGACAGCCGAATGACCTTCTGGACGTCCTTCCTGATGACTTCCAGACAAAGCCAGGGCTGGGAGGGCTGAGCCCTTTGCACGAATTTCGTGCACCGGGCCTCTAGTTTATTAATATTAACTTATCTGTCACTTTCATTTTTTTCTTGAAGCATTTTATTGATATTCTTAGTCTCTTTTATTTTACCTTAGAACTTGTCTGTGGAAAATATATTGTTTGAAATGAGGGACCATCTTTCCCGGTCAAAGGTGATTGAGACGGAATTGGCAAAACCTTTATTCGATGCCCTGCTCCGAGTTGCGCTGGGGAATCACGCGGCAGATTTTGAACACAGTGATGCTGTGACTGAGAAGGTACGAGTAACATGCAGTCGTGCTGTCGGGGGGAGGGGGGGACAGCAGAAGCAGAAGAGTGTGGGATGGGACTTCATGGGTGAATGTGGTTAGAACATATGGCCCGGAGTTGGTGAGTTCCATGAACAGATGTGTAAAAATAGAAGACATTTTACTAGCATTAAGTTGTAAGAAGTATAATTTCACCTCATTGTGGTTTTTAGTCATTTCCATTATATAACTAGAATGTAATTTGTTAGGCTTAGTTTTCGGTGAAACTGAGATGACCCTAGCTTAATCTGCAAGAGCAGTGGTTCGCAACCTTCTGGCCCTTTAAATACATACAGTTCCTCATGTTGTGACCCAACCATAAAATTATTTTCGTTGCTACTTCATAACTGTAATGTTGCTACTGTTATGAATTGTAATGTAAATATCTGATATGCAGGATGGTCTTTTTTTTTTTTTATTGCTTAAAGTATTACAAAGGGTATTACATATGTGTCCTTTTTTTTCCCCCCGCCCTTGACAATCCCCTGGCCTCCCCTACCCCCCAGTGTCTTATGTCCATTGGTTATGCTTATATGCATGCATACAAGTCCTTCGGTTGATCTCTTACCCCCCTCCCTGCAGGATGGTCTTAGGCGACCCCTGTGAAAGGGTCATTCGACCGCCAAAGGGGTCGCAACCCACAGGTTGAGAACCTCTGTGCTAGAGTGACCTCCCACGCATGGTTGAGGTTAGTCAAGTTGTCTGAGAAATTGTGCTGCGTGAATTTCATAACTCACAGTGGTAAATATCAATTCATAGTATTTTTTTCTTAAAGGAAATACTGAAACTGTTCTTAAAATGACAGCTGTATAATATATTATATTCCTAAAGGTGAGCAGATGTTACACTTTTTGCCTTTTAATCGCACCAATCTTGCAGAGTCCTCAGTCTGAAGAAGAATTGTCATCCCAACCTGGCGAGTTTTCAGAAGAAGCGGAGGATACTACCTGTTGTGGTTTTAAACTTCTGGTTGAAGAAGAAGGTTATGAAGCCGATAGTGAGAGCAATTCTGAGGACAGTGAAGCCCAGGATGATGGTAAAATATCAGGAAGTACTTGTGATTCGATTTGCAAGTCAGATTATTAATTAGCAAAATGGTTTGTAATAATATTACTTTACAATCGGGGTTGCCTTACAATTTAAGAAACGCATTGCATCATCATTCCATTGGGTCTTCACCATGAATTCTGGCACTTGTTTGTGTCTGCGATTGGAAACACCGAGTAGATCTTGTTATCACAGACGTTGACCTAAGAATACAGGGGAGAGCAAGTGCCTGCTTTCACATACATTCCAGTGAAAAAGAGTAAGTAGCATGAAGAAGGACCTGATGGACCATAGCAGGTTGTCTTGTTTGTTTTTACCAAACATGGAGTGAAAAGAACTAAAAAACAGCCACAAATTGAAGGGATATGTGTGTGTATATGTAGAGGGGTAGGAAAAACAGGTTAGTAGATAATAAATAACAATACTAGAATAAACTCTTTCGCATTCTCATGACTGTAAACCTACTTTTTGCCAACTCCTGTGTACACATATACATATAGCTAACTTGATTTATTAAGCTATTTTTGCTTTTTTCCAGTTTTATTGAGATATGATTGACATATATCACTATATAAGTTTAGATAAACCACTTGATGGTTTGATTTACATATATTGTGAAATGATTACCACATAGGTTTGGTCAACATCCATCATCTCCTATAGACACGATAACAAGAAAAAAATTTCTCTTTGTGTTGAGAACTCTTAAGATCTACTCTCTTCACAGCTTTCCTACGTGTCACACAGCAGGTTAACCATAGTCACCGTGTCGCACATTACGTCCCCAGTGCTCATTGATCTTCTAACTGGAAGTTTGTACCTTTCACCACCTTCCTCCAGTTCCCCTCCCCAACCCCCCAAGCACATGCTTTTGAAAAACATTGGTTTAATGGTGTTGGTTTTATCAGAGTACAGTCATGATTTTGTAATGACAGATTGCTTCCTTTTTGTAAGTTTGCTAACTAGATGTTAATTTAAGGAATTCTGACCTAGCTAGAAATGTATAAAATTCTTATTTGTGTGGACACTGTTTAAGGGCACAGCGTCTCTTTTAAGAGCATGTAAGTTAAACTTCCCGGAATGTAATATTTAGTGAGACAGTGTCTGTTTGTTTCTCACTTACGAAGAAGAAAAAGTACAGAATTTCTCCAACCTACTGCCAAGCCTACCATTTTCAGAGATATGGGCAGGCAAAGAAGGAAGTGCCCTGTGATTCAGGTTTTTGGGGTCAGAAAGTTTGGAGTAGTATTTTTTTTTAGTATGTCAGGGGAATGTGTTAAATCTGTATCACCTACATGTCTGTGAAACTTGCTGTTGCGAATATTTGTAGTTCTGTTGAAGATCAAAATTACTTTGAAGGCTACTCATTTATCTTCCAAGTATCCATAAGACGCGATTACTCAGGATATTTGCCGTAATAAAAAGGCACATTGTAGGAAAAGGGTTTGTGAACATCTTATACACAGCACTTTCGCCACTACAACTTTCAAATGATGAATGAGATTTGAAATACCTGGTCAGTGTTTAGGAATGAAAATAATCTTTTCTTTTCCCCTTCCAGGGGTAGACGTGAAGCCCGAAGCGGAAGGTTTCATTGCATTAAGCAGTCCAAATGACTTACTTGAAAACCTCACTCAGGGAGAAATAATCTATCCTGAGATTTGCATGCTGGAATTAAATTTGCTTTCTACTAGTAAAGCCAAATTTGATGTGCTTGCCCACGTATTTGAGAGTTTTTTGAAAATCATCAGGCAGAAAGAAAAGAATATTTTTCTGCTCATTCAACAGGTAAAAGATATGTTTAGTTAAATGAGACCAATACTTATCCCACTCGTGCCCCAAATACTCATTTCCTTATTTATAACCCAACTTGTCCGAAAATTACCTGAGATGATTACTTATCCTTTATGATACCTTGTCCGTGTTTTTTAGCTACAAGTGGTATTCTAAAAATCTTCTATTCCATAGTTCTCTAAAGTAGCATAAGAAATTAATGATGTCATTGGCTAACTAATAATGCCTCCTATTATATTTCTGAGAATGGGTAATATTTTTTAAATTGTATTTAATCTTAATGTTTGGTCATTGTTTTGAAAAATTAGAAAACAAAAGCAGTATGAAAAATAAAATGAAAATTGTGTATAATCCTACACATAGCCTTCTTTTTAGTCATTTTAAATATTTATATATGTATATACAGTAGACATTCAAATAATTTATTACATTACAATTGTTTCATGCTTTAATGAGGTAGGCAATTTAATTTACTATGTTTTGTTTTTTAATCTTCAGGGAACTGTGAAAAATCTTTTAGGAGGGTTCTTGAGTATTTTAACACAGGCTGATTCTGATTTTCAAGGTGCGTTGAAATGTTACGTTTTGAAACAATAGTTTTAAAACTATTTTGTTGTGATGTGAGAGAGTTGATAACAAGGGCTTCCATTGGCATAGTGCTCTATGGTTTCAAAAGTAGTTTATATGCATCATCTCTTTTGTTCCTCGGACCCACCCCGCGCAGTAGGCATGGCCCAGTTTCAGTGCTTCTGCTGAATGGGCTTCCCCACGGCTCTGTCCTCAGGCTTCTCCACAGCGCTATTTTATCATGTCTCAAATCGAGATGGTATTTAATGTGTAGGACTTTCTTGGGGGCTGGGGGGGGGTTGAGGATCACCTGAGATAATGCCTGTAAATATACTTTGAACACTGTAATGTGTGCTACAAATATTAAAAGTTCTACGAATTTGTGTATAACCGACCATAATTTATGCTAAACCCCATAATGGAATAAAACAAATGTTCAAAGTCATTGTTTGTGATATTTAAGTGTGTTTATAATCTTCAATATTTCTACTTTTAGTTCTGTTACCTAATTTTATATTTAGAAAGTAAAAATTATAATTTAAACATGTTCAAAATGAGAAGACTACTTTATGGTAGTCACTTAAGTACTGTATTAATTTATGCTTTTAAAAATTTAATTAATTTTAAATCTTATCAACTGGGGTGACATTGGTTAATAAAAATTGTTTAGGTTTCGGGAGTATAATTCTGTAATACATCAGCTGTATATTGTATTGTGTGTTCACCACCCAAGCCCAGTCTCCTTCTGTCACCACTTATCCCCGCTTTACACTCTTTCACCTCCTCCTACCCTCCTTTCTCTCTGGTACTCACCACGCTGTTTTCTCTGTCTATGAGGGTTTTTATGTGTGTGTTTTCCTTAATCCCATCACCTTTTTATGCTTCTTTAAATAATACCTTTACTTGACTTGGAGCTAACCCATCATTAAGGAAAGTGATTTTCTTGTTTTTTTGTCAGTTGGTTAGTTTGTATTTAATCATATTTTATTTCTTCAGCAAATTTTTGGGTTATTAGGTTGTTTATAATCCATTTAAAATGTGACAATAGTATTTTATCTTTTTCAGTGTAATTGTTTATTCGTTTCTTTAATTAGCTGTGCATTTGGCTTTAACTTTTCCCTCTGTCTGTCTTTAACTCAGCGTGCCAGAGAGGACTGGTGGATCTGTTGGTATCTTTGATGAGCTCAAGAACATGTTCGGAAGAGCTAACCCTTCTTTTGAGAATATTTCTGGAGAAATCTCCTTGTACAGTAAATATGCCATAATTTCATTTTTGTCACTGATATTTAATAGAATATTTTAAAATGCATTTGAAAACCACTAAGCCCTCTCTTTTGTTGTGCTAATTATATAGTCAACTCTGTGTTATTATTTGTGAAGTTCCCAATTATTTTATTGCTAGAAGCCCGGTGCACGAAATTCATTCACTCGGGGGGGGGGGGGGGTGTCCCACAGCCTGGCCTGTGTCCTCTCACAGTCTGGGAGCCCTCGGGTGACATCCTTAGTGCTGCCACAGGTGGGAGAGGCTCTTGTCCCTGCCGCTGCACTCACCATCTGTGAGCCCGGCTTCTATGGTGCTCTCCCTATGGGAGCGCACTGACCACCACGGGGCAGCTCCTGCATTGATATGTGTATGGGTATGTTTGTTCATTCGTAACCTGAATTTCAGGATTATTATGTTCCTTGTAACATTATTGTAACGTTTTATTTGTTTTGCTTTTTCTTTAGGAAATTCTTCTCCAGGGTATTCTGAAAATTGTCGAAAGTGATGTTGCTGTGAGCCCTTTACAGTATCTGACCTTCCCTTTCCTACACACTCTGAATTTAAGCAATGGTGTTTCATCACCAAAGTGTCCTGGGATTCTCAGCAGTAAGGCCATGGGCTTGTTGAGAAGAGCACGTGTGTCCTGGAGCAGGAAGGAAGTGGACAGTGACAGCGTCCCCCAGCAGCTGCTGTCCTCCTGGCACGTGGCCCCCGTGCACCTGCCTCTGCTGGGCCAGAACTGCTGGCCACACCTCTCGGAGGGGTTCAGCGTCTCACTGTGGTTCAACGTGGAGTGTGTCCATGAAGCCGAGAGTTGCTCAGAAAACCGAAGGAAGATCAGGAAAAGAAAGAAGTCGTCAAGTTTACGAGATAGTAGTTTTGATGGAGCAGGTATGGTGACTGTGTTATCTGTTATACTCAGCTTTTTCAGGTGGCGATTTTGGTTGACAGTAAGAATATAGCCATGTTCTAACTTGCTCTTAACATGTTATTCTCCTTAAATGCCTTAGTAATAGCAGGTCCTGACTCACCATAGCCGGAATTGTCAGCCTTAAACACTCCATTTTCTCCTGTACTTTTCTGTGAGTGTGTGTGTGTGTGTGTGTCCATGCGGGAGGGGGAGGGCACACACCACACATACTGCTGCTGCGGAGGTCACCAGCCAACTTCCTGCCTCTTCCCTGGTGCCATTCCTGGATTAGGGCATCTCCTGATGTTAGCCCATCCCATTCATAAAAGAATCGTGGCTCAGACTGTGGTAGTTTACTGTGGTGACATCACAGTTGGTCAAATCATTCCTGCAATTAGTCTTCAGTTATCATATATTTTATTATTCTTTTTATATTCTTTATTGATGACACTACTACAGATATCCTCATTTTCCCCACCTTTGTTCGCCTCCACCCAGCCCCTGCCTCTCCCCCCCTTTCCGCTGGCCATCACCACACTGTGGTCTGTGCCCATGGGCTATGGGTATATGTTCTTTGGCTAATCTTCCACCTTCTTTTATTCACCCTCCCCTCCAACAGCTGTTAGTCTGTTCCATTTATCCAGGCCTCTGTTTCTATTTTGTTGGTCAGTTTATTTTGTTCATTAGATTCCACATATAAGTGAGATCACAGGATATTTGTCTTTCTGTGACTGGCTTACTTCACTTAGCATTAGAAGTCATTAAATGTTTTAAAATATATGATAACTGGAAAAAACATTTAGTAACTCTTAATGCACTCATTTACTACTTCACTCCTGGTGCTTTTTTGGAGTTAATTAACATCTAAACTTTGGAAACTCTATTGTTTAAAACAGGCCATTGTGGGTAACTAATTTACTACAAATAAACAAGCATGCTTTGTATATTTTTAAATTCACTTTTCCATTCACTTTTTATCAACTGCTTTATTGATCATTCTAACATCTTTCTTTCATAGAGAACGACGGGCCAGAAGGTGCAGAGCACACACATCCTGGTGAGAGACTCCTAGAGGGAGGCTGCATTCACCTGGTTTCATTGGGATCCAAAGCGCTGATGATCCAAGTGTGGGCTGAGCCCCTCACTGGCACCTTCATCTTTCGGTAACGATTACCCCCACTCCCATGCATAGGGCAAGTGTTTAAATAGTTCATGTAAGAGACGTAGTGTAAAATCTGCTAATAAAGATCATCATAGCAAAACAAAAATCTTATTTAAAGAGGAGATATAGTTTAACAGCTTGTAATACCACTTTGTAACAATATGTTCTATCTAAAAATCTATAATTAAACTCTAAAGTAGATTATGTTAATTTTCAGATTTTAGACCAAATCCTTACTGAAGTCCTATCTATGGAAGTATTCTTTCAGATGACAATGATCCTAGGATGTTGTTAATATCAGACAGAGGTTTCCATGCAGATCATATATTTAATAGCCATTATCTAAAAAGCTTAAGATCTCCTTGCTAGCTTGTCCCTTTCCTACCTCCTTTGTTAGCTAGTTTAGATGTGGGGAAGCATGGGACTTAGTTGGAAAGTCTGTAAGGAGGATTCTCTGAAAGGTCGAGGCCTCTAGGGGAACCTTGCCGAAGGCAGCAGACCCTGCCTTGACTTTTCCAAACAAGTCTGAGTCCCTGGGTATTTTACTGGAATCTTTATGTTTAGACTTCAAAATGTCCTTGTTTAAAAGATACTGTAGATGCATGTGTTTTCTCAAGGATACTTACCCTGCTGATAGAATCTAGAGGTTAATTTTCGTTCAGGCTGTTGCTGCAATAAAAGCCTAAGGAGGCAGGCAAACGGGGCTATCTGGTTCCTTTAGCCAGGCAGTACCTTAGCCCTCTCTTTCACAGAATGTGTGTCAGAGTCATCATTCATCCGTAGCTCAGGGTCTGCTGGTCAGTCCCGGCATTTAGATACAAATCTTTTGTTTGTATTGAGTATGAATAGTATGTGGCTATTTTTATAAAACTTAAAACTAAGTAAACAATGTTATTTAGGGTTGTAAAAGTTATAAAGGTTGCTAGGTATTGTATATACATATTATATCCTACTTTTCTCAGCAATTCCTCATGTAGGTTAGACCTCCAACACATCCCAGCATTTGAACATTTATGTACAACATGTATTAATTTATGTATGGACCAAATATGATATTATAATTTCTAAATGGGCAATGACTATAAATAGTAAAAAAGTTTTTTTGGAAATTGAATTCTGAAAATTATTGCCTAAATTATTAACACTAGCAAATGAACCTACTCTAGTTCATGAGTTGAGGTAATCTATAACAATGAAAGCATAATATGCAAATTGACCAAACAGCTGAACAGCAGAACGACTGTCTGGACGACCACCCTATGACACGCACTGGTGCCAGGCCAGCCAAGGCGGGTGCAATGTGATTGGTCGGGGGCCCCGCCATTGCCCCATGATCGCCCCACAGAGGGAGGCCCAGGCCACCAGCCAGTGGGGCGATCAATCAGGGGGATTCCGTGATTGCCCCAAAGAGAGAGGCCCACATTACCCTGCCGGCAGCGCTGAGGCGCGTGGGCAGGGCCTCCCTCTGCGGGGTGATCAATCTTGGGGCTCCTGGACTACAAGAGGGAGCAGGCCGGGCTGAAGGACCACCCCTCTCCCCTGAGTGCACGAATTTTGTGCACCAGGCCTCTAGTAATATAATAAAAGAACTAAGCAGATTATGGTATAAAACAAAGACCTACTAATTTTTTAAGTTAGTTTAAAAATAGAACTGGTTTTTCACCTCACTTAAATATCTACAATTGTAGTTGTACATGAGATCTGAGATTCCATGTTTTCAGCTTGTACCTTTTCTCTCCTCTGCAGCCTGTGTGTGGATTCAAATGATGATGCAAAAGCTATTTTACTAGCTCAGGCGGAATCACTGGAGAATGTTTTCCTCCCAAGAAAATGGCAGCATTTAGTGCTCACCTACTTCCAGCAGCCCCAGGGGAAAAAGAATCTTCATGGGGAAATCTCCATGTGGGTCTCTGGACAGAGGTATGAAACAATTTTAGTAAATACTTGTTAACCTCAGTTACAATTTTAAGGTCAGTCTGTGATAGCTTCTAAAACAACGTATGGAACACTACAGATCCAATTCCTATGTTAGCAGAGGAACCTAGGTCAGAGTCAGATATTTTCCTGTTTATCACTTCCATTCAAAAGTAATTTCCCATAGAAGTCATTGTTGGAAATTAATATCTGGGTTTAGGGGAGCAATACAGAAATTTGGACATTTAGACATTTATGTGGAATATATATTACATCAAGGCACTATAGTTTTGTCCTTCAAGCCCATATATTATAAAATTAGCCTGGAAGGATTATTTTAATTGACCAATAAGGCTTTAATACCTAAATTAAAATCAGGGATTCAAATGAAATCAGAATGACTAGAGAAAAATATAAGCCCACTTATTTCTGCATCACCTTGAAGGAGCTTTTTTGCCATTTGATACAAGTTAATGATTTGATCTGTTCACCAAGCAATGAGCAAGTGACCAAGGACACATATATTATTCTGTTGATTGAAATTTGGGACTGCCTTTATCACTTTCAGAACTAACATAGAATGATTTCTACAAATAGTACATTTTAAGAGGCCATTTTAATAATATAACATTGAAAAACAACTTATTTTCTATTAACTTATATTTGATTAACAGCACACAAATCTTATAGGAAAATATGGTACATAGTAAATACTTAATATTTGTTTGATTCATGTTGCATTGATCATTGTCACACTGCCACTAGGTGTCAGTAGTGTTCCAGTCACAGCCATTTATTTGGTTCCAGAGAGAGGCGGTGATGGAAGTTATCTCTAAGGTTATGTTATTTAAACTTCAATTAAAAAAAGAAGGTAGCTCATTTCCTTTATTAAAAAGCATTCCTATAAACAGATACATTCATGTTAAACATGGAACACAAAGCCTTAGGGAAGGTTTTAAAATAAATGTATACCAAAGTATCATTTCTCATTAAGAACTAACCAGATTAGTTTATTCTAAGTCTTTATCTTAGGCACACACTTTGCATTTAGAAGTGACCTTCATTATCTTCATGTCGAGTTTAAAACATTCCTACGATAGGGGTGGAGCCTGGCACCCTAAGTCTCAAATAGATGATGAAGTCCCCCCAACAAGGGTCTTGATGAGAAAGCCTTAGTTTTATCTCTTCCTGAAAGGATTCCTGCAAAAACAAGAGATGAATCAAAAGCTCCATGATGACTTAGCATTGAAAAAACACACCAGAAAATGCAAAAAAACACTGGCATTTCAGTGGCGAGTCAGGGCAAAACCTGAAGAAGTGATACTGTTTTTTCCTGAATCTTTGAAGGCCTCAGAGGAGGACCTGAGACGTTAGGAGTTGTTTACCAAAATGGGAGACGTCTTGGTAAAATTCGGGGCAGGTGGTTGGGTTGTGAGAGTGCAGAAGTCACGTGGCTCAGAAAACTTGCAGCAAAAGTCAGGTCCCTTCCCGTGGCCTGGGGCCCGATCCTCAGGCACCTCCATTCTGCTCCCGTTTCCGGGGCTTGTGGGCAGCCAGCACCTTAGAGACAACAGAGTTAGTTGTCTTTCTCCCGTTACCTGTTTGATACTGAACACAGGAGGTTGTTCAAGCATTTCCCATTATTAAACAACCTCATGCTTTAAAAGTACTTAGTACTTAGTCCTCACTGAGTGATTGCTCTAACTCTGTTTTACTGTAGGAAACCTGATGTTACTTTGGATTTTATGCTTCCAAGAAAAACAAGTTTGTCATCAGATAGCAATAAGACATTCTGCATGATCGGCCACAGTTTATCATCCCAAGAGGAGTTTTTGCCGTTGGCTGGAAAATGGCACCTGGGAAATTTGCTCCTCTTCAACGGTACATTTTCCCCTTCAAAGTGTTTCCTAATTTTTCTTTCCGTTAACATGTATTAAACTAAGTAAATTATCCTGGATAAAATATTAATCACTCTTTCTTTACTTGTACTTAATAAGTACTGTATTTCCTAGATTTCAAAATGACTTTTAAAATATTTTAACATTTTTATAATCTAAATCTCAATCATAAAAACCCTGTGGTCGTGACGCCGTCACAGCAGAACGACCAAAGACTGGTCACCAGGAGACTGAGTGTGTGGGTGCCGGCAGGGACTTGACGCTGGCGCGGGTGGGCGGCGCCACGCGATTTCAAGCACTGGGCTTCTAGTGTTTCTTATAATTGAGATGTGCATTTAATGCAGCGGTACACATCCTACTCACTACCCCCCAAAAAAGAAGCTTATCTTGCCAAGACCGGTTTGGCTCAGTGGATAGAGCGTCGGCCTGCGGACTGAAAGGTCCCAGGTTCGATTCTGGTCAAGGGCATGTACCTTGGTTGCGGGCACATCCCCAGGAGCAGGTGTGCAGGAGGCAGCTGGTCGATGTTTCTCTCACATTGATGTTTCTGACTCTCTATCTCTCTCCCTTCCTCTCTGTAAAAAATCAATAAAAATATATTTTAAAAAAAAGAAGCTTATCTTAAATCAACTTTATTTGGTAATCCTAGAAAATGCAGTATTGTGACAGGTAAACTTGGAATGGTTGCCTCTTCTATAATTTCAGTATATTCTATAAAAATACCAAAATTTAGGGAAAAGAAATATATGATTTAAGAAAATATATCACTAAACCTGACACATAATAGCATTCAGACAGTGTTTATTGAATAGATGGATGGAAGGAATAAAGATATCAAATCATTTCATTTTAAAAAGGAATTTACTTAGGTATACTTTCCATTTATTGAAAAAATAAAACAAAAACCACCCTGTTTTCTAGTTTAAGGAGCAAATAGAAACTTCATTATTTAATTTTATCAAGAGCTAACTTTATATATATTAATTCATCTTCCATCAATTTGGAAATTGAGGCTTTAGTCAATTTTATAAGATACAATAAACAACTAAAAGAATCTGGCATAAAAAATTGTTGTTTTCTTGCTTTTTGTGGAAAATCCTGCTTGGAATGTTTTGAATCAGTACCTGTATCTTTCTGCTGTTCAGGGGCTAAGGTTGGTTCCCAAGAGGCCTTCTACCTCTATGCCTGCGGACCCAGCCACACCTCCATCATGCCCTGTAAACACGGCACGCCTGCGAGTGACTACTCCAAATACATCAATAAAGACATTTTGCAATGTGACCAAATCAGAGAGCTTTTTATGACCAAGAAAGATGTGGACATTGGTCTCTTAATTGTAAGTTTTCATTTTATGTTTAACTTTATAGTAACTATACATATGTATGTTTACTACAGTATGTTGTTGTGTTCTGTTTTATTATTGTTGTTATTCTCTCACTGTGCCTAATTATAAATTAAACTTTATCAGAGAAACGTACGTATAAGAAAAAACACAGTGCATATAGGGCTCAGTACTGTCGTGATTTCAGGCATCCACTGCGGGGTCCTGGGGTATATGGCCAGTGGGTCAGGTAACGGAGCCAGAAGCTGTTCGAAATTCCTCTCTGTATGGGAGAAATACTGAAAGTTCTATTGGGTTTTAGTTAGGTGGGCTGATGGTCCGGGACTTTATTCTCATATAAAGCAACCTCTGATCTTAGTCACTTTTATTTTTTTAATTTTATTAAGTTGATTGAAGTGACATTGATTAATAAAATTACATAGATTTCAAATATAATTCCATAATACATCATCTGTATATTGCATGTGTGTAGTTACCTTTAAATTCAAGCCCAGGAGCAAACTGAAAGGAAAAGAATTACATACATTGATCCCAAATTCCCATCTCATGAGGTTGTAAAGATCGGTTAATATTTACGTTGGTAGAGCAGTGGCTGGCACGGGCATGCAATGGGTGTAGTATAGCATTAGCTGTTGTCATTGGCGATAGTAAGTATAATTTCATGTTTATTCTAAAATGATCAAAGCTGGAATCTCAGCCCTGCTGTGTTTTCACTGTTGGTCACTAAGCCCACACCTGTTCCTCTGGGGGGGCGGCCTTGGGGCTCACGTTCACCTTGTTTAGTGTGTCTGTGTCTTTAAAGAAAGAAAAGATTTGCTGGGTGTCTTTTACTTTGGAGGATTTACTTGCTATTTGATAACTTCCTAAGCTTTGCTTCCTTTCTGAGGGAAACTGTTTGTGTTTCAGGAAAGCCTTTCGGTTGTCTACACATCGAGCTGCCCTGCTCAGTACACCATCTACGAGCCGGTCATTAGACTTAAAGGTCAGGCGAGAGCCCCGCTCTCCCAGAGGCCCTTCAGCTCGAAGGACGTGCAGAGCGTCTCGCTGGAACCCCACCAGCTGAGGAGCCTGCGGCCCGCTCACTGTGAGACTCTCCAGGGCGTCCTGCACGAGATCGGGGGCACCGGGATCTTCGTCTTTCTCTTCGCCAGGGTAGGAGTCATTGCTTTTCGTTTCACCTACAGAGGAACTTTCTATGACTGATAAATGTTAGGGTTTCTTTCTGATTATAAAAAACAAACAAACTATACATCACCTATGTTACACTTTTAAGGTTAAAAAAGTCACACGCTCTCGCCAGTGTGGCTCAGCTGGTTGGAGCGCCCTCCCGTGCACCGAAAGGTTGGGATTTGATTCACAGTCAGGGCACATGCCCAGGGTGCAGGTTCCATCCCTGGTTGGGGCATGTTCGGGAGGCAGCCGATCGATGTTTCTCTCTCTCCTCCCCCCTCTCTCTAAAGTCAATAAAGACATATATTTTTTTAAAAATCTCACATTATTTAATGTGTCATCAAGCTTTCTGCCACACATGGTTAATCTTTTAATTCATGAAGATTTTAGAAGTTTTCTTTTATCCCAAAATGTAATTAAAACAATTGAATGTTAAGTTATAAGATTAAAATGGCCTGTGAGATAGAAACGCATGCTGTAGTGACAATACAGAGGAAATGTACTCTGTAAAATAAGACTTCTGAAACTGGTTTTTCCCTTGAAACTTGCAGATGTGTGGGGAAAACCCAAGGGGCAACAAATAAGTATAAAAAATAATTTATTTGAGTTTGAAGTTTTTTTTTTTGTTTTTTGTTTTGTTTTTTTAAATATATTTTATTGATATTTTACAGAGAGGAAGGGAGAGAAATAGAGAGTTAGAAACATCGATGAGAGAGAAACATCGATCAGCTGCCTCCTGCACATCTCCCACTGGGGATGTGCCCGCAACCCAGGTACATGCCCTTGACCGGAATCGAACCTGGGACCTTTCAGTCCGCAGGCCGACGCTCTATCCACTGAGCCAAACCGGTTTCAGCTGAAGTTTTTTTTAAAGAGGAGAAATATAAAAAGTTTGACTCACGCGATGAGTGCTATATTAGCATAAATTGCTTGGTTGTTTCATGCAGTTGTCTGAGGCAGCGAGTGCCTTTCCTGGGGCAGTTAGGCAGTCAGCAGTGTCACTGACTGTTGCAGGGATGGCTGGAATCCAGAGCAGGGGCCCAGACCTCTCTCTGCTTTGAGCCATCTCTGCCTCCCGGGCACTCGTATCCTTGTCTAACTGAAGCAACTCTGAGCATCTCCCATCTTCAGAATCTTGTCTCAAGTAGAACTTCTGCAGCATAATCAAATTTCCACAGTCTCCCTGCCTGGCTTTCTTTCTTTAATGGAATCATTTTTTCTGAATTTTGTAATAAGGGACCATATCAGTGTTTGTTATTATTAGTGTTTTTATAAATATTTTGTTAGCAATTGACTCGCCATACCCTAAGCTATCTTTTTTCCCCCCCTCTTTTGCCTTTTTCAGACTGGTTTTTTTTTTTTTGCATTTAACATCTGGTTGAAGATTTCCCCTAGTATTTTAAAAGTAAAAGTTCTTCATTTAACTCCTCGTCATTTTGTGATGTATTTTTATAGCTTGTGTAATTTCAAAATGCCACTGACTTGTAAGGTTGTTAGTTGTTTTAGTTTATTTGTTATTTTAGAGACTAAATGGCATAGAGTTTGTCTTCCAGTTTTGTTTATTTATAATTCTTAAATAATTACAAAGTATGAGCAATAAAAAATAAACTTTGAAACGAAACTGATGGATTAATCACGTAATGGTAGATAGTCACATGTTAAATTTTTACTCTCAACAAATCAGAAAAAAACATATCCTTTTTTTTAGGTTGTGGAACTCAGTAGCTGTGAAGAAACGCAAGCGTTAGCACTGCGAGTTATACTCTCGCTAATTAGGTACAACCAGCAGAGAATACAGGAGCTAGAGAACTGCCATGGGCTCTCCATGATTCATCAGGTGCTGATCAAACCAAAATGCACTGTTGGCTTTCACATCCTGAAGGTACGTCCTCGTAGAGTTGATTCTCATGGTGTCCTGTGCAGTGAGGGGTCTTCTCTCTTCCTGAAGTCTCCCAACTCGTGTTTCAGTTATTCCTGAGGAAATGAAGGCATCGCAATAGCACACACTTAATCAAACTAAGGTACTCTCTGGTTTTGTTCCGTCATTTCAATAATTACATTTGTATTTTATCTAAGACATTTTAGAAGAGTAAGAGAGAAAAAACCTTGTGGGATGGTAGGTCTGCATGAGCTCGGAGATGTCTCTAGGGGGCCCCTCACCTCCAGGTGGTGGAAGGGAGACCCTCAGGCACTGTGGTTGCTCCGCTCCCATGGTTCTCCTGACACGAGTGGTAACGTCCCCTGAGGCCACGCTGCTCTTACACGATGCAGCTGCCATCACGCACTCACATCCCTTCCTAGCTAAAGCAGTTAGTAACACCGAGAAGGCCTTTCTCTCTGAGGGCCTAGTTCTAAAGCTAAGGGCGCTGCCTCCCTGGGCCCCAGCCCCCAACTCTTCAGATTGTCGGGATCTAAACATTGTGGCATAGATCTTGGCCACTTTGGCGGAAAGGTTTGGTCGCCTAACAGACTTATTGAATTTAAAAAATAAAAGCAGAATGTGGTTTATTTTATTCCATGTTTGAAATTGAGTAATTGTGTACAGATACTTAGAAGTTTGTGTGGTTTTTTAAATTATTTGAATTGTTTGCAAAAAAACTGAAGATACTTTATGGCAGGGGTCCTCAAACTTTTTAAACGGGGCCAGTTCACTGTCCCTCAGACCGTTGGAGGGCCGGACTATAGTTTAAAAAAAAACTATGAACAAATTCCTATGCACACTGCACATATCTTATTTTGAAGTAAAAAAACAAAACGGGAACAAATACAATATTTGTATTTGCATGTGGCCCACGGGCCGTAGTTTGAGGACCCCTGATTTATGGAATTTTGAATTATTCAGCAGTTTTCCTTTGAATTTAATGTTATGATTGCTAAGGTTGAAAGCTTAATGTTCCTGTTGAATTTTGGGATGAATCAATCATTAATGCATCCTGTGTTGGTGCGTATTTTCCGTAGACCCTCCTGGAAGGTTGCTGTGGTGAAGAGATTCTTCATGTCGATGAGAACGGAGAGTTCACGTTAGATGTGGAGTCGAAGGCTCTCATCCAAGATGTCAAACTGCTCGAGGAGCTGCTGCTCGACTGGAAGGTCTGGAGGAAAGCAGAGGCACGTGCTTACGCCTTACGGTGACAACACATGGGGGGGATGCGCCCTCTTAGTGCTAAGCGCCCCACGCACGCAGTGGTACCTGCACCTAGAGCCTTCTTGTGTGCTTGGCTGACGCTGTACGCATTTCTCCCTCCCCCGTCCCTGCAACCACCATCCTACCTTCTCCTTCTATGAGTTTGATCACTTGAGATACTTCATTGAAGTGAAATTACTCCGTATCTTTGTGTGACTGGCTTGTCTCCCTTAACATTATGTCTTCACGTTCCACGTTGCAGCTTCTGGCTTGATTTCTTCCCTTTTTAAGACTGAAGAGTGGCCCAGGGTGTGTGGGGACCACATTGTCTCTATCCGTCCACCGGTCGCTGGGCGTGTGGTTGCTCCCACATCTCGGCGACTGTGCACAACGCTGCAGTGAGCTGGGCGTGCAGATGCCTCTGCCAGACCCTGTTTTCAGTCTGCTTGAATATGTAAACCCAGAAGTGGGGTGCGGAATCAGGTGGTGCTTCTGTTGTTCATTTTTGAGGACTCTCCATACTCTTTTCTGCGAGAGCGGCACCATTTTACCAGCCCACCAACAACGTGCAGGGGTTCCAGTTGCTCTGCTCGCCAACAATGTTGTTTTCTGTGTGAGGGTGGTTGTTGTTTTGATAGTGGCCACCCTTGGGTGTGAGGTGACATTGCATGCAGTATGGCCTTAGGTGCTCTAGACCATCAACCTTCCTACGGCATTCAAGGATGGGTAGTATTTTCAAAGAGTGAGCTCTCTTGGGATTTATTCGATACAGAGAAGAACATCTTCTCAACATCATTGTCGGTGTGTGTTCGCAGCCAGGTGTGTGGGAGGCGCTGCTGGCGGCCCTGGAAGTGCTCATCCGGGCAGACCACCCGCAGCAGATGTTCAATGTCAAGCAGCTGCTGCGAGCGCGAGCCGTTCATCACTTCCTGCTGACTTGTCAGGTTCTGCAGGTACTTTCCCGTAGCTTTACTCTGGGAGGTGTCTTTTGCAGTGACTTCTGTTTAGTGACCCAGTACTCTGGGCTCAAGTTCTTGTCAATGGACTTTTCCTCTTTCCCGCTTCTCTCCTTTCCTGGTGCCCTTCTTTCAGCAAATAGTCCGGGAGTTTTCCAACCCCTGCCTCTTATAGTTTGACCTTCACACTGTCGTTATTCCTAACTCAGTTACAAACAAAAGAGGAACAACTGCTGAGTTTCTGAGGTGCTTCGTTATGTTGGATATAAGAGTAATTGTGTAATCTCTTGACCGTCAAATAGTGAAAGTTTAACTTGTTCCCAGCTTTGCACAGTGGCAGCATCGTAGCCAATGAGGTTTACCTGAGGCGCGATGATTGCTAAGTGAACCTTGGTCCACATTTTAAATAACAATACAACCTGCCCTCCCCTCTCTCCACTTGCTCTCACTCTGCTGATGTGTGATTTGTTAGTTTGATGTCGATGATGACATTGCGGTTTATTTCCTCCTGTAAACCCCGGGGTGCCAGAGTCGATCACACTAACCCCGGTGCCCGGCACACACAAGGGGGGCCCCTCGCTGACTGAATATTCATGAGCCGTGTCCACATCACTGGTCCTCCCAGTCGCCTGCTTGTAAACATGTTTCCATTTAAAAACGTGTCGGCCAACGTGCAGTGAGTTTATCTGACGGCGAAGCTTTTCCTCAGTCTTTCCATGTCAGAAAAGTGACACATGAATTTGGATATTTCAATGTATAGTCTCACTCCGGTATTATTTCTAAAATGCTGGAGTTAGCAACTCTGCCCAAGGCCACCCAGCATGAGCGGAGGCACCGGATGCAGCCCGGGGCAGCCTGGGGCAGCCTGCGTGCCTGGGGGGGATGCTGGGCTGCTTTCCCAGCCCCAGGATCATGGGCTGGAGTGACATCGCCGCTGGTTTTCATGGTTGTAATCGCAGAATTGCTTGAATTGAGAAATGGCAACTCAGTGTAATGGTGGAGATGGTCACACCAGAGAGGTAACTCGACACAGTTCTATCTTGAAAGGAGTATCTTGCTTAAATGAAAAATGGAAGTGAAGTTGACAGTTGACCATAAATCTAAAGAGAGTTTGGTTTTTATTTTTTCAGGAACACAAAGAGGGGCAGCTTACCTCCATGCCCCGAGAGGTTTGTAGATCATTTGTGAAAATTATAGCAGAAGTCCTTGGATCTCCTCCAGATTTGGAATTATTGACAATTATCTTCAATTTCCTTTTAGCAGTTCACCCTCCTACTAATACTTACATTTGTCACAACCCAACAAACTTCTACTTTTCTTTGCACATAGGTAGGTATGATCATTGTTGTTAGACCTTGGCTGTCTCCATTCTTGTTTTTTCTTCCCACTTCATCCATGTGTGTTGATATCCATTGAATGGCCGCTGTGTGGTAGAAACTGCTACTTACACCTGGTTGGGACGGGGCAGAGGGCTGTGAAATGAAGCAGGCATGGTCTCTGCCCTCAGAGAGCTTAAATGCCAAGAGAGGAGGCATAACTCAGACAACTACAGTAGGAGACAGTCCTCGGTGAGTACCTCGTAGATACCACGGAAGACCTGCGTGATCTCAGAGGAGCGAGGGAACTGCCGGCAGCCGTGGGCGAGAAGAGTGAATAGCTCACACATCGGACACTGAGGAATTTGGGTAGAATTTGATAGGCAGATGCGAGAGTTAGCATTCCAGGTGAAGAGAATGACATAAAGGGAGGGACAATAGGAAGGAAAAATAGAGAACAAAGTATAGGGGGTCTATAAAGGAGTAGTGAGAAATGTAAATATAAATGTAGTTTGGGACCATCGTTTATTTTTTCTCTAAGGGCATATTCACTGAGTCTTTGGATGTAAGAATTGGAACTGGTAGCATCGTAGTTAGGGCTCGTTGGAGGGTTTTGTTTTGTTGTGTCTGTCGAGCAAAAAGATCTGGTAGAAGTCACTTACTGCAGCAAACTCAGGAAAGAGAGACCACCCACCCAGAGGTGAGTCGAAGCTCCAAGCGTAGATGAGACCGAAGAAGGTGGAGAGGAGGCGAAGGCGAGAACTGTTGGCAATAATGCCATTGGGCGGGCGGGAGAGAGAGGGATCGGCATGAAAGGAAGGTGGGCTCATAGATGTTGAGAAGCACTCAGAAGATGTGATGTGGTGAGAAAGGGAGCAAGCCCAGGCCTGGGGAAAGCTAGGTAGTAACTCTAGGGAGGAAAAGCGGTTGTTACACAGCCACTTTCAGGAAGGTAAGAAATGAATAAACGATTCAGCAGCAGTGAAAATCCAGGAGCAATCAGGCACATTGATGCGTCAGGTTC